GACTTGGGAGGTTGAGGCAGGAGGATCAGTCACTACAAGTTCAAGACCAGTTTGGGTTACACAGTGAATTCAAAGCCAGCCTGAACTACATAGCAGGACCCTGACTGGAAACCAACCAGATCCTGCCTATCTATACAGGCCCAGCCCTTCCAGCCAATATATGGCTTTCCAGACCATAACTTAAGTTCAAACTTCTAAATTAAGCGTAAGAAGTCCATTTTTTTCCTCATCCCTGTCAGTCTCACAGGAAAGCCCTCCCTGTTTCCTTGCCCCTGCAAATCCTTGAGCCTACAGCTTCCCATTCTCACCTCCTACACAATGTCTGCCTAATGTTTCAGAGTCAGCTTCTTGGAAACACTTCCTGACTACCACAGAGTTTTCTTTCTTTTGTTTGAAATTTTGTAGCCCCTGGTAACTTACCGTGTTCTAGAGTGCAGGAGCGGCTTGAGACCATGCATTTCAGTGTGTGTATCTTTCCTAGCCTGTGAACTCCGGTCAGAAAAATTTTCATTCTCTTCTCTCAAAACGCGTAAGTGGTACATAAAAACTCTTTCAACATATTCACCATTGGATGTTTGCATGGGGTGGGGATGAGAAGCATGGAGTTCACAGGCATTTAAGGCTCCCAGGAAAAGAAAGGTGACACATACTTAGAAGCACAAGACTTGCTTTGGAGGCTGAATCCATGACTGTTCCTGGAACCCTGTGGACAATGTTTGCCCTTGTCTGTTCATCTGGGAAAGGAAAACTAGCTTAATGCAAATTCATTTAATTGGCTGGATATAAAACTTTCCTGTATTTGATTAGAATCTAATGTAGTGCTTGTATCTATCTAAAGGTATTATTTTATATTTTTAGATGTGTTGGGCAAATTCCATTTTGTTTAAATTTACACCCTTTGCAAAAGCTTTTGATACCAATTCCTCTTTGCATGTATCGAGGAAGGTCCATTTTGTGTATTGCCCCCTTCTCAAAAGCATTAATATATAAATGAGATTGAAGCCTCAAGAAAGCAGGGGCTTATGTCATGTCCTGGTTCTGGCTGTCATGTTCTGGAAGAGCATTTGTGTGTGTGTGTGTGTGTGTGTGTGTGTGTGTGTGTGTGCGCGCGCGCGCGCACACGCTTGTGTGTCTATACCAGTGTGTGCTGCTGTCATCTGGCAGAGCTGAATAGGGAATAGTATGCCACTGGGTGGTACCTGGATGTTAACAAGGGATGCAGGTGAAGGGATGAGAAAAGGAAGAGGAAGGATGGAAGAAACCAGAGGCGGGAGTTTTCAGTTCAGAGCAATTAAAACGATGTCATCCTTTAGTTCACTGTTTTTGCCAGTGCAGACAAGATGATGAAATACATGCATGCAAATGCATATATATATATATATATATATATATATATATATATGGTCACAGTCACCAGCTCAAGTTCATGATGGCTGCACTTTGAATCTAAAGCTCCTGTGCTAAGGTAGGATCAGAGCAAATTTACTTGTGTCTGTATCATATTCAGTTTATCTAATTCCCTCTCTCTTTGGGTTTCTCCCTTGCCAACTCCTAGGGACCTGAATTTTACAAAGTTTGAATATTAGTTTTTGACTTAGAGTTTCTGACATTGATATATGGTATATGACATAGGAATGATATAGCCCTCCAAATAATGTAAGGGCAATATTATAACTCTCAACCTGCTAGGTGTCCAATACACTGAATTCATGTTCTCTAAAACTAAAGAATGAATTCTAGGAGTTACAGAGGTTAAGAATAGAAAGTATTTATTGAGAGAAAGGAAGTTTGCATCTAAGGGACAGAGGGGGTCCTGAATGGGTAGCTCTGGGAAATCTAGTTCTTAAGGGAGTTTTGTGATGTGGATATAATGTGGGAGAAAACTATAGTTAATTAATACTATAATGGTAGTCTTTTAGTAACATTGACCCAATGGAAAATTATAAGCTGAGTATAAGGCGGAACAAAATTTTGGTCAACCATTGAAATTAAGAGTATAGTCCCTTAGGTAGTATTGATTAAATGGGGATAGAATGGGGAAGCAAGTCATGTGGCAAGTGTACAAGGAATGAACAAAGAATTTCCGGGAAGAAATGGGCTCCGGAGGTTTTGGTCCTCCACCCACCATGATTGGTGCCTATTTAGGATATCAATTACTGCTGCTCATCCCTATGGGAAGTACGTGGGTGTGGTCTTTTTGTTTTGTCTTGAAGCTTGACAAATGTGCCTCTAGCCACAGGTATTTTCTGCACTGACAAATCCTGGGGCCCAACCTTAGCTGGCTGTTCATAATATTTCTAAATAACTTATCTATCTATAATAAAATGTCACAAGTATTGGTGTAGGGTTAGAAGACTTGCCCGGGGGAGAAAACATGGGTCCTCCAGCTTCTACAGTACATGTTGTGATGAGGGGACAATGGGAATTTTGACATTTTGTTATGTAATAAGTGATCTATTAATTATGGAGTACTGTTCTACAAAGTATACCACCATCGCATTTTCTTGGTTGAAAATGTAACACATGGTTTTCAAATTTTAATTTTCATTGGTTTGGACTGCTGATTTACAATTAGAGCACTGCTTTTCTATGTTCTAAACTGTAACTGATTAAAAAAAAAAAAAAAAAAAAAACTCAGTGCTATCCCCTTTTGAAAAAGTATCCTAGGAGAGGACTTGTAAGCAGACCATGTAGTGCTCTGGTTGACGTAGTTGCTCTTCCTGGTTCTGCATGTTCCGCTTCTCCTTTTCTTGAGCCTGAGAGACAAGTAAGGCCTGCAGGACCTCCTCTAGGGGCACATGATCTCAAAGCTGCTGTGTGAGGCACTTTACAGTCCACTAGGAAACTGGAGGAAGAATGAAGACCATAAGATCATAAAGATCATAAAGTTTACAGAAATGAACAAGAGCGTGGTGATTCTTATTTCTATATGGAGTTTGTGGTATTTTTGGCTTATTTGTTGATTTTCTAACCTGGAGCATATTTTTCCATTTGGTTTCAAGGTTTTTGAGTTAAAAATATACATGCATGTGAAAAAAGGATGACTTAATAGAAAAAAATAGTTCATTAGGGTCATGAAAGTATGTGTAATGCTTTGTCTTTTTATTTTCCAAAACATCGTTAACCATAAGAACAAAGACGTTCAGCAAAATTCATATTTTATGGGACAAGAGCCACATATCTATGGGGTTTAGTAGAAATGTGATGAATTAGTGCAAGACATAATAATTCACTAAAATGATAATAATTATTAGTTAACTCACAGTGATTTTTTTTTTTTTTTTTTTTTTTATCACCTAGCGAAAGATGCCTCCCCAGACTTCCAAAGAAACTGGTTGATAGGGAAACACTGTCCTGGAAGGTGAAAGCAGGAGGAGATTTTTTTAAAACAAGAGTTACATTTTAAAGGGAGAAAACCTGAACTAACATTTGCAAGCTTTCCTTTTGTGTTTTTTTTTGTTTGTTTGTTTGTTTGTTTTAAAAGTAATGTTTTGAGAAAAGGGAGATTAAGGCCCAGAGGCAGGGAATAACCCATTTAGTTTGCTTAGTCAAATGTCAAATTTAGCCTTACTAATATTTAGTCAAGCTTAAGGAAACATTAAGGTCATCTTGGCCAAGACAGATTGAAAATCAGAGGCTTGTCTGGGGATGTAACTCAATGGCATAAGCGCCTGGTTGACAAATGCAAGGTCTTAAGTTCAGTTTCAACTACCAAAAATTGGTGCTTCTGATTCATAGTGTTCCCCTGTGTGTGTGTGTGTGTGTGTGTGTGTGTGTACATTTATATTTAAATGCATATATGTGTATGTTTATATAAAAGACTCTGTTTGCAGTTCCTACCACCCAGTTTCAGCAACTCTTGCCAAAAATCGTGTATCATTTTTGCTGCTACCATGATCCAAGTAAACTTTATCTTCCTAGTGGCCCATATGTAGATGAGATTATCCCAAATACATTCTCCAAAATCTGGTTCAAGCTATCCAGCCATTTCCACATGAAATGACGACAAAAAATACCGTTTTCATTTACAAGGGCTTATGTGTATTAAAACTGTTAGGGAAGCCAAAGGGAACCAACAACAATTAGGGAGATTTTGTGCAATGATTAAGAATTCAATCCCTGAAGTTGAACTGTGGGTTATGGTTATTAATGACTTCTTGAGAGCTCTGGAAGTAGCTACCATACCCTGATTATTCTCATGTGAGCTAATGTGTGTACTGACCTCATGTTATTATTAGGGTAAAATGAGATGAGCTATGAGAAACACTGAGGGCACTTTCTTGCAAGAAGTGTTGTTGGCCGCTGTTATACTGAGAGGGGGCTAAGTCAGTACTTATTTTGACCCCTTATTTTGAAGAGTGTTACTTGTCATAGACTACATTTGGCTATTTTGTGGGGGGAAAATGTTCAAGCTTCCCCACAAGTTTAGTGGCTGCAAACAACACAATTTGTTATCTTACAGTTCTGGAGGTCATAAATTTCAAACATTACGGCAGAGATAATTAGGGCAGTGGTGACAAAATCTATGGCATGTGTGCCACTGGTGGTCTGTTTGTCTCATTGAAAGCGCTAAAAGGCTCATTGTAATGTGTTCAGGGGGTAATTTTTTTCTTTTCCTTTCCCAGCTTCTAGAGGCAGCCAGTCCTTGATCAGTCTGGCCTCCCATCACTCTGACCTCAGCTTCTGTCTTCATAACTTTTCACACTTTGGACCACCCTCCTGCCTTCCTCTTGTAAGAAGCCTTGTGATTCCCTTAACCTCATCTGAATAATTCAGGACAATGCCCATATCCAGAATTCTTGATTCAGTCACATTTACAGAATCGCCATTGTAATTATGAAGACGCAGTCACAGGGGTCAGTGGTTAGGAGGGTATGTTTTTAGGACACAGTCATCTCAGCTACCATACTTGGTGTCTGCTGATGGGACACTGACTGTGTGACTGCACATGAGCTTGTTGATATGTTTCTTTATTGTGTCTTCCATCCAGACCTTACCAGATGGATGATCTCTGTGAAGGAAATGGCACTTTTGCCATCAGCTTATTCAAAATGTTGAGTGAAGAAGACAATCACAAAACGTGTTCATATGCCCACTGAGCATCTCGCCCTCCCTGGCTATGGTCTTCCTGGGGGCAAAAGGAAACACTGCAGCCCAGATGTCCCAGGTATGCATACCTACCCCTTCTCCCAAAAAAGAGAACAAAGGCAGGTTTCTCTTTTGCTCCCATAGAGCTGGTCTTTGCATGCTCTGCTTCTAGCTGGTGACAGCTAGTGTGTCCTGTGGATTAGGAGGAAGCCACTCTGACAATGTGGACATGGGCATAAAGGTGAATTGTGCAGTATAGATCATCTCCTCTAATGTTTATGGGGGAAAATAGGTCATAAAGTTTATTTTCTCTAGGTAAAATTATCAAACTTGTTGGTGGATCACACCTTTGATAAAGTAACCTTTAATTTTGTTCCACACAAAAGCCAAGAATTTTAATCTTGTATTTTAAACTTTTCTAATGTTATGTTTTAAATGAAAGTACAGCTGGGAACGTAAACTTTTCAAAGTGGTTATTTTAATGTATGATTTTGCATATGTAGACGAGAAACGTGACTAAATGTCAACTTAGATTTCCTGGGGTTATTTAGAATAAATCTTTAATTTGGCTCATTTGAAATGTTTCAGTTTCAATCTATATCCTTATCTTCAGATGCAGTAGTAGGTAATACTTCAAGACATTTCTTTGACCATCTGTTGAATGGATTCCAGAAAATTGCGATATAGACATCTTTTTGCCACTAACACCAAGGATGTGTGGATAACCAGTAGTATATCCAGGGTCCCAGGTGTGGTCTGCTGTGGTTGTTGCAGCTTACTGGAGGAGGGAAGCTTCCAACATGTGTTATGGGGAGGCACAGAAAAAACCCTTATTTCTCACTGTAATCTGATGTGTAACCATAATCTGGTCTGAACAATTATGAAATTACAGACAAAATGATTTAAAAAAAAATCACTCCCTGAGTCACATTAGATTCAGCCCAACTACCTTTTTTTCTGCTCTGCCTCCCCCTAAATTATTGCAGGCTGCCTTCCTGACATGGACAAATCTCCTAGACTGCTGTTTCTCACCTAGGTGGCCAGCTTCTTTCCCTAGGGGTATAGTATTTGGTAAAGCTGGAGTTTTAGCTCTCATAACTGAGAGGTGGTGCTGACCTCCAGGTGGGGAGAGGCCAGAAATTCTGCAAAACATCCTATAGAGCACCGGACCATTCAGATGACAAGGAATTGTCAGATCCGAAGTGTTCCTATTGCTAAGGGTGAAGAACCCTGTGCTGTTTTTCTTTTTATTTTTCTTTTTTCGTTCTTGATGATAGCCATTCTTTCTGAATGTATTTATTGTGTGTTAAAAATGTATATCATAAAGAAAGATGTTGCTTGGAATGCTCCCAAGGTGAGAAAAGCATTGCAAAAAATCAAAAAGGACAGTTGAACCAAACTTCTTTTAAGGCAGAAGTCTATTGATTTTCATTCCAGGTATTTGTTTGGAAATAGCTCTCTGGAGGAGTGTCCTGTCTATGTTTACAGCACACACTGTCTTCTATTCCCAGGCACTTTATTTGAACACAGATGGAGATATCCATGAAGGTTTCCAGTCTCTTCTCACTGAAGTTAACAGAGCCGACACTAAGTACCTGCTCAGCATGTTTGGCAGACTCTTTGGAGAAGAAACATGTGATTTTCTCCCAGTAAGCAGCATTCACTCATTGATGAGGAGTTTGAAAATAGATAAAAGCACAATTTGATCTCCTGGAAAATGTGCTTAGAATTATACTTCTGCAATTAGAACTTTGACTTTTATACTTGCTTGTGATCTGTGTTCTTTTCAAATTGTTTCTGGTACATCCCCGTCAGAATCAAAGTCAGTCCGCCCATCTTCCTGCATGCAGACCTCTTCCCTTGGGCCGCTGTCCCTGAGAACATCATCTACTTATTACAGAATTTTCCCCTGTTCCCACCTCTGCTTGTTGGGCTGCTTTCTGCTGTGACAGCCTTTTCGGGACTCTGGCATTTGCTCCTATTTCTGAATCACCACTGGTGTTTGGTTTCAAACTAACTATCTTTCATGTTCCTATCAGTTGTTCTTAACTGGCTTGCCCAAGACCTGCCTGGCCCTTCTGTTTGCCTCATAAATCCCACCACTGACAGACTAGTATTTTTAAAATGAAAATATGTTCATACTTCAGCATATAATTTCAAAATCACCTGCTCCACTCTGTGGCTACCATAAGTTAGAAAGTGAGATCCCAAAAAGTATGCCACACAGTATATAGGGTGATGCTAGTTTAAAATTAATGAAATTATCACACTAGGTATAACTGTCTTATTGGCTGGATGTTCCAGTGGTTCATACTGAGACTCAGATACGTATCTCTTCTCACTACTTTTAGATGCTGCCCCTGGAATCTGGTTGGCCTGGGTTTATTGATCACTGGAGATGACTCTAGATCCCAGGAATACCCTAGTGGACCAATATTCATTTTTGAACATCTGCTTAATCTTTGAGTGCAGGTCATCAACTTCCACGTTTCTTAGTTACTTGGCTTCTTCTTTCCTCTGAATCCTCTCTGGCAGAATCTAATATATCTGAGAATGGGGAATGGATAGAAGATGGAGGCTAATTGCAGAATATCTGAAAACATTTTTATGGGATGAATTATTTGGGTTTTAATGTATGATGTATAGGCCTTTCCTGAATTGACCCCAACTTACATTTCAACTTCCCTGACACATAATACTTTTTCCGCTAATCATCATGTCCCAGATAGAAAATGCTATTTTCTTATTGGGTTGTTCGTAGATCTATGGTTTTTTGATAGTTTAGTTTTACTATGGAGCCTCTCATTCAATAAATATGTCTCAGACCCTATGTTAAAGTAAAAGAGAGTTAGATTGGTCACCTAGTAAGAGAACAGAAAATCAGAGTCAGTGAAGAGTTTGAACAGAGACAGTCCTGGGCTATTTCGTGCATGGCTGGTGATATCCACACAGTTGTGACTGTCTGTGTACATGGACTGTCTCTATCTTTAGTCTGAGCGTCACTTTGTTAGCCGTCATGTCTTTATCCAGTGACTATGATGCATACAGAGTAAGTGGTCTGACATTTAGGGTATTACATGAATGTGTGTGTCTTAAAGGGCAGCGTGACCTCTGCAAGCATGTATGATAGAAACTTGTTAAGAGGAAAGAACATTGTGGGTTCAGTTTCACTTTTGTAGCTGTGGGGACCTTTGCCAAATGGACCAAACTCAGTGTTTGTGTTTGTAGGCCTTCAAGGAATCCTGTAAGAAGTTCTATCAGGCAGAGATGGAGGCACTGTCCTTTGCTAAAGATGCTGAAAAGTGCAGGAAACACATCAATGATTGGGTGAAAGAAAAGACTGAAGGTAAGAAACTTTAATTTAGGTGGACTTGGCACTGCCCTGGGAGCAGAGGTGGAGAGGGAAGGGGCTGGACAATTCATGGTGTTGTGCCTTGGGATACTATGAATGCTAGAACCAGAGGGCTGTTTCTTGGTTTGTTCAGATTTTAAGCTAGCAACAACATCCTGTTTTTCTTGGAATTATCAGATCAGAAAGTAGTGATTTTTTTAAAAAAAATTTAACTCATTAGAATCTCAAGCCCTTTCCCCTAGGGACTGGGCTGGAAAATCCCTGATAAATACTACTTCTTGTGGCCCTCACTATCTTCTGTGTGGGGGGGACCCATGCTATGCTCTGAGGCAGAGGGAATTCGTTTACATTGTAGCTGAGATTCGACAGTGATATAAGTTGTCCCGTTGCCTTGCTGTGTTAGTGTGAACAGCTCACTAGTTTGCCTGAAGCCCACTCCCTCTTCTCTGACTTCACTGTGGCTACACTTGTTTTCAAAGTGATCTTTCCTGAATCTACTGCAAATTCTGTGTGTTGCTAATCTGGATTCTCCCCTGTCCATGCCACCAGAAACCATTTGTCCAGTCCATAACTTGATTATGGAGAAAAAGAGCCAGGCATGTTGGCATGTGCCTGTAATCCCAGCACACGGGAGGCTGAGTTCAGAGGATCACAATGAATTTGAAACCAGCATGGGCTGATAATGAGTTCAAGGCCAGCCTGCACTACATAGTGATACCTTGCCTCAAACCAGACAAAAACAAACCAACAACAACCACCATCACCAACAACCAGCATCACCACAAAAACAAAACAAAACAAGTCAGAAAAAGAAAAGAGGGCATGTTTTTTAAACATTCTAAGTAACTAACAAGAAATTTAGAGGCCAACCTATCACCAGTGTCTTTCATCCACTGTTTATGACACACACATTGTGCCAGGCAGCAGCCATGCCCCAGTTATACTCACAGCCAGTGACATAATTAGCATGGGAAGGAACCAGCCTTTGCACATAGTCTGTCCAGTGTGCTCTCACTCTCCTGTTGACACAGCAGTACTGAATCACCCGAGAAGTTTCTCCACATCTTGCTCACCCCTTTTCTATCACTTCTTTAGGCTACTGAGACCCTTCCTTCTTTTTGGCTAACAGTCCACATGTTTGCCCAAAATATTAAAATTGGAAGGGAGTTTGGGGTCACTGGTTCCTTCTCCTATAGAACAACTCAATTTGGGTTCTTCTGTTCCATCTCCCTAATGCCGCCCCCACTCATTCCTTTCAGTTAGTCCGCCGCCTTCCCACCTCCTCATAAGCCAAAGCCCCCATCTTCAAGGGACTTTTTAATTCCTTAAAGCTCTCATCTAGACTTTTTATCTAGATGAGAGCTGTAGATTGCAACAGAGCAGTGATTCTCAAGCAGGCATGGCTTTGTCCATCTGGTGACATTTGTCAATGATGAAGACATTTTTGGTTGTCACAAGTGAGAAAAGCCTCACTGGTTACACATCCTACAACACGCAAGGCAGACCTATTTTCTTAGCCATTTCTTACTTATGTGAACTTGACAGCAAAGTAAGGGAAGTGTGTTCATCCTGCATTTCTACATCTACAAGTTATGAAGACAGAACCACAGTTGCCCTGCCTACCTCAGGATCACTGTTTAAAGGCAAGTGATATACTGTCAGTGAAGGAAAGACTCCACCTTGGCTCTTCACCAAACCTAGGCTTTATGTATCAAGCAGATTGTAAGGAATGCTTATGTTTCCCCAAATCACTAAACTTCTTTCCTATTCTTCCCAGGTAAGATTTCAGAAGTGTTGAGCCCTGGGATTGTCAGTTCACAGACCAAGCTAGTCCTTGTGAATGGTGTGTATTTCAAAGGAAAGTGGAACGAACAGTTTGACAAAAAGTACACAAGAGGAATGCCCTTTAAAACTGGCTAGGTAGGGAACATTTTCTCATGTATTACTACCTTCTCAGGTCATGAGCTGAGAAAGATGATAGAAAAACTAAATTCATTTCACATTATCTTGAATCTTAATCTTTGTCTGAATGAATTAAATGCCCCCCCCCGTCTCTCTTTAATTAGAGGGAAGAGGACAGAAACTAAAATACTGTTTGCATAGGCAGTTTTAGTTTTTTCTTCTTTGGTCAAGTTCATCTCCCATCTCTGATCCACACGATTTGGGTTGGAAGGAAATTTCTTCTAAGTCTTAGAATTACGCTGATATTAAGCTATCACTGTCTGTAATTACTTAGACATCTTCCTGCAATATCAGTAGAAACTGTACCTATTTTTTGCCTCAGAATTCAAGAATGTACAAGTCTGAGGGGGGAAAACAGACTGGTGGCAGATGTTAAGGCTAACTTTGAAAACAGTATTTTGCATTCCCTTTAAAATATGATAATGGCTAGGGTCAATAGTTTTAGGTTGGAATTTGACTTCCATCATACAAAGACATTTTTAAATGCTGACCTTATGTATCTTGTCAAGGTCCCATCCCTAAGGAAATCAAAGCTATAAAACCAATTATATACCGGGCACCTTTTCAGAATAAAAGTATAATTTCCTTTGACATCTATATCTTTTCTAACCAGATTTTTCAACCTAAGGGCTGAATTTTGTTAGTGCTCCTCTTAACTTGGAGAAGTAATTTTTAATTATAAGATCTATGGGGTCCTTACCTATGAATATTCTTAAAAAAGGAAACACGGTTTCTTTTAAAAGTAAAGCTGGGTTTTATATCCTTCTATGTTCAGCACACTATTCTCTCACCTGCATAATACATGATCTGAGGGAACAGTGATAGCGTGTGCTGCTCAATACTAAGATACGCGTGTGAAGACTATAATAACATTAGTGTTCAGAAGTATTATCTTGTGCTTATCTAGGACTTATATGAGCCAGACATATCTTGATTTTAGTAAATTCTGCTCATTTTTCAGCAGTCTAATTTTAACTTTGTGTTTTTACTAGGAGAAAAAACAGTGCAGATGATGTTCAAACATGCACACTTTAACATGGGTTATATAGAGGAGGTGAATACCCAGGTCTTGGAGCTGCCCTATGAGGAGGAGGAGCTGAGCATGGTCATTCTGCTTCCTGAAGAGAACACTGATCTTGCTGTGGTGAGCGCTGGTCACTGAGTCCAAGTGTCTGTGGATTCCAGCTGAACTTACTTAAGTCCATCTCCCAGATGGCATTTGAGGCGTTTTCAGTGATGGATAATTGCAAGTAGTATTGCATGAGCACCAGCGTGTGCCTTTCAGTGAACATGTGTATGCGTTTCTCTTGAGTGTCTATATAGGACTGGATAGATTTTGAGGAAATGAAGAAAACAATGTTCCAAAAATATAACAACATGGTTTATTTTGAAGAGAGATCCCAGTACTTCTTGAACAAAGTCCCAGGAAAAGGATAGGGAATAATTTTGGAAATGTTTTTCAATTATTAACATGTGTATAAACCTCTTGGCAATCTTATTGTAAAAATGATTTGATTCAGGAGAGTGTGACCTGAGATTTTGCATTTCTGAGAAGATTCGCTGTAAAGCATACACTGCTAGTCCATGGACCACACATTTTAAAAAAAATTAGTACATGTTTTCAATACATAGTGAATGCCTGGCAAGTGTGAGGTCCTGTATTTGATTCCTAGTAGGAATATACATACATATTTATATGTATGTGTGTGTATTCACCATGGGAATTTGCTATACTTCTGTATGTCACACTTTGAATTGCAAGTCTATGGTAATGATGGCAGATTTACTGTGGACAGAAGGAGAGACAAGTCTTCTCATGATAGAAAACAATGCAGGAAAATAGTATGCAAACTTACAAGGTGGGAAATGCAGGATTACCAGTATGCTGGTAAACTTCCTTTCTGGGAGGTTAGGGAGACCCTCATTTGTAATGTTTGCTAATTCCTATGGTGTAAACAAATATTACTACTGCTGGGTCTATGCTACCAGATGTTTAAGAAACATATAAGGAAGGAAATGTTTGCACACCAGTGATCAGCATCCTAAGTGTGACAGACTGCTTGATTTCCTTGGTTGCTCTATGGAGTACAAAGCTATTGGCACAAGTCAAGAATGGGACCTGTCATCGCCACATGATAGGAAATTTAGAAATCTAAAACAGAGCCAAAGTTCAAACAGCTGCCCCTGGAAAGCCTCCCTCACTTCACCACCAGTTGCTGAAGGGTGGAGGAGGTACAAGCAGAAGCTCCTCTCACTCCCCGCTTTCTTCCTTGTGGATAAGGAGGGGTGATGAGTCTCAGAGCACTTGGAGCTAACTGCAGGACAGACAGGAGGGCAAACAAGAATGTCAGAGGCAGCAGTCCTTTGAAGTCTCCATTTCTGACTTTCTCCTAAAGCTTGGTCTCCTTTCATTTTCAGATGATTGCCACCTCTTGACCCTGAAAGATCTGCCCTGTTCCAGCCCTGAGTGGATTCCTGGATAGCTCAGAATCAGAGCTCTGAACCATACTCTTTATTTTATTAGTCTCTTCATTTCACAGACCTACCATTGGATGAATATTAATATGACCAATTGGTTATATTTTTCTAAATGTCAATTTTTAATATTCTAAGCAAATTTAGTATAAATTGTGTTTAAAACATTCTGATATTTTTTAGCTCTTTGATTGTTAGATGCAAGAATAGGGTTGAGAATTGAGGGTAGGGTTGGTGTGCTTCTAACAAGAAAAGTATCTGTAGATTGTTTTGGACAAGAACTCATAATATAGTTCTATATCACAGAAAGAGGGTAATAAGTGGGTGTTGGGTACCAGCCTGTTGTTCTTTAGATTTTAAGGTTTGATCCTTTCCTATTCCAGGTGGAGAAAGCCCTTACATATGAGAAGTTCAGATCGTGGACAGATCCAAAAAACATGAAGAAAATTAAAATTGAAGTTTTCCTTCCCAGATTTCAGCTGGAGGAGAGTTATGACTTGGAATCTGTTCTCCAAAGTTTAGGAATGACTGATGCTTTTGAGGAGTCTAAGGTTGACTTTTTGGGAATGTCAACTATAAAGAATGTGCCGTTGTCCAAGGTTGCCCACAAGTGCTTTGTGGAGGTTAATGAAGAGGGAACAGAGGCAGCGGGGGTCACTGCAGTGGTCCGGAATGCCAGGAGTGCCCTTGTAGAACCAAAGTTCTGTGCAGAACACCCTTTCCTTTTCTTCATCTGGCACCACAACACCAACAGCATCTTGTACAGCGGCAAGTTCTCTTCGCCATGAAGAGGTTCTGTAGCTGTATGTGACTCCTTTCCCCTCTGCCTACTTTGCCTTCAATAAATTCCATGTGGCCAAACTGGTGCAGTGGCTTAAATGTTAAAATAAAGTGTTTGTAGTGGTGAGGTTTGTGAATGTCTTTGCTGACAGTTGCAGTGCGCCTGAGGCTTCAGATGTGTGGAGTTTGGGGTTAAGAAGGCTTCCCTTGTTTTGAAATGTTTGATATACCTCTTATATTACTGCAAGTCTAGGCCTATTGTTTGTAAACATCTTACTGATTAATGACCCAGCCTTTAATGAGATTTTCTATCCTGTGGTAGTCTTCAAATTCTGCCCACCACCACTGCCAGTCTCTCCAAGGGATGCCAGAGCCCAGATCCCATTGCACACAAAATTAGGGAGGAGTGAACCCTGTTATTCTATAGGGTTACACTGTAGCCACTTATTACAGGCATTTAACAGAGCACGTCTATCACATCTCACACAGTAGCTCTTCATGACCCACATTTCATGTAGCTTCTCATAGAAACAGCTTCTTTAGAACTTCTTCCGATAAGACTTACGTACAATTCAAGGGCTCAGCAGTGAACTTCAGGACCATGCTGAGACACAAATCATTCAAATATGCCAGGTCATCATCTTCTGTGGCCTTACCTTTGAAGCTCCCCAGAATTACCAAAGGAACCTTGAAACCTTCATACTTATTAGAAGATATGATACACTTCTGATGAGTTGTATATCCTCAGACTTTCTCCTCCCTATTAGATGTGTGCAGATATAAATTCATAAGCATTTAGCACATTAATCATAACTTTAGTAGCTTACTTTTATCCTTATTTTTGATAAACTTTCCTTAAGATAGTTATCTTTCTATGCCATCAATTTGAAATGCATAGTATTTTATGATATTCCTAGTTCTATATTTGAATCTACTTAAGAGATGTAGGCAAAATTGTTTACATAATATATTACATGGTTATGAACAACCTTAATATCTGCTCTCACTCTTAATTTTTGGAGCTATATTCCTAAAAAAATCATCCTGTCAAGATAAAGGGTGGATATATTTTGAGACTTCTGAATTGGTCTCCAAAAGTTTTACTGATTTACATTCTTGCTTATGTTTCTATTTACACTACTGACTAAACAAGGGTTAGTCTTGATCCTACTTTTGATTCACGGTTAACATACACATTCATATTATAGCTGTTACTTGAAATTTACCAAGCTAGAATACATTCTCAAGCCATATTAATTTCAGAAGCCTTGTTTTCCAAGGTACATTTGGCCAAAAGATTAATCCACAGAGCTGGAAAGTATGCATCTGGGTTTTGATCTTACTGGTACTTCTAATGTAGAAATATACCTTTATTGAGGTATAATTGAACCAGAATAAACTTTATATGTTTATCACATACAATTTGATAAGTTCTGGTTCATATATGCATCCATGAAACCATCCCCACTTTTTTTTTTTTTTGTCTTTTTTGTTTTTATCGGTACCAGGGATTGAACTCAGGACTGCCTGCTTGTAAGGTAGGTGCTTATGCCGCTGAGCTAAATCCCCAGCCCCACCATCTCCACTTTTAAAATAATGCCATGTTTAGCGTACCTCCAAACATTTTGTTGAATCTTTGTAATCTCCTTCCATTCACTCCTTAACCACTTAGCCTCACTCCTCAGGGAGACAATGATCTGCATTCTATCACTATAGCTTAATTTTATTTTCTACAATCTTATTTACATGAAATCACCCTCCCTTTTCATATGGCTTCTAGCAATCAGCACAATTATTTTGAGATTCTTCAATATTACATATTTCAATAATTGCTAAGTAATATATCATTGTATAGATATACCACTGTTTTTAATCCAGTTACAGCTTGATGGATATTTGGGTTGTCACCGACGTTTGGCTGTTGCATAGAATGTTGTTATGAATGTACATATTTTTAGGGATTTAATTTTTCATTTATTTTGGGTAGATGCATAAGAGTGGGATGTCTGGTTACATTAAAGACATATCCTTAAATTCTTAAGAAACTCCAAATTGTTTCCCAAAGTGGTTGTATCATTTAGCATTCCCAATAAAGCCTATGAGAATTTTGGTTAGTTGCCCTACATCCTTGCCCATGGTTGTTATGGTCAGATATTATTTTAGATACATTGTGGTATTTTATTGTGACTTTAGTTTGCATCTATCTAATGACCAATTATGTTCAGTATTTTTTCATGTGGTCATTTACCATCCATATTTGCTTTTTGGTGAATAAAATTTCTCACCTTAATTTTGTAGCTTTCAGTTTTATTTTCTTACTGTATTTTGATAATTTTGTGCCTTGGAAACAATATATGATTATCAGGTATATGATTTGTGTACATTTTTTATCATGGATCATGTCTTGGACTTTTCCTTTGATAAAGTACTTTCAAAAAGCAGAAGCTCTTAATTTCCTTGAAGTTTAATTTACTAATTTTTTTTGGCATCTGTACTACTTTTGTTGTCATATCTAAGGACTCCTTGCCTGACTCAAGAATACAAGAATTACTTCTTACATCTTTTGGGATGTTAGTAGCATTCATTTTATATTTAGGTCATGATCCTTTTTGACTTCATATTTTCTCACATGTTGAAGACTACTCTTTCTCCACTCAATTTCAATCTTTGTCAAAATTTTATGGATCATACATTTGTAGTATTATTTTTGGGGTCCATTGAATTGTATTGATCTTCTTGATGCCAATAACATACTACCTTTATTATTATATCTTAATAATAAATTTTAAAAACTAGTAAATTTTCCAACATAGCATATATATATATATATATATATATATATATATATATATATATTTTTTTTTTTTTTTGGCTGTGTTTAGTGTTGTGTTTGTCCCTGTGAATTTCAGACTTGTTAGTTTGTTCACTTGTATAATAGCTTTCTGGAATTTTGATTAAGATTGTGTGGATAATCACATTAAAGAGAACAGATATTAGCAATATCAAATATTCCAATCCATGAGCAAAACTCATTTCTTCACTTTTAAGGTCTCTAATTTGTCTTACTATCACTTTGTAATTTTCAGTATGTATTTATTACACAGCTTCTGTCAGATCTAGTTCTATGTATTTTCCATTTTTATGTCGCTATAAACTTGTTCTTTAATTTCAGTTTCTGATTATATGTTGCAAGCATGCAGAAACATGATTAGTTTTTGTGTAATTGTCTTGTTTCTACAACCTTGCTAAAAATCCTTGTAGCTTTTTTGTAGTCCCTGTATCTGCTACTAAGAGAAAGTATTTCTTTTTTGCTTTTTCACATAGATTCTTTTCATTTAGGTTTCTTACCTTGTTTGATTGGTTGTCCATTAGAAGTAGCAAAACCAGACATACTTTTTTCCTTCCTAATTTTAGGAAAAGCATACTGTCATTCGTCATTAAATATGATGTTAGTTGTCAGTTTTTCATAAATGTTCTATATCAAGTTAGAAAATCTCCTTTACCTAATTTGTTGTGAACTATATATTATTTAAGATCAGGAATAGATGTTGGATTTTGTCACATAATTTTCTTTATCTTTGAGATGGTCACATGATTTTGAGGTAGAGAACAATAGGTAGGTAAAAAAGGAGAAAAGCAACATTGCTTTTAGTCTCTATAATTATTTAAAGAAACACAGGGTCTTATTATGTAGTTCATGCTGGTCTTGAACTCATTATGTAGCTCATATTAGCCTCTCTTGGTAATCTGCCTGTCTCAGCCACCCAAGTGCTGGGATTACAGGGTGTACCACCATGCCCAGCTCTGTAATTACTTTGGAACTCTGGGGCAGATTTTTCTCAACTCTGCATGTTGGCATGCTGTATTGGTCAATTTTATGTCACTGGACAAAATGTCCACCACTTTCAGCTTAGAAGAAAAAAGTTATTTTGGCCCTCAGTTTCAAATATTTTATCCTATGAATTAGTCTGTGGCTCCAAAATTGAAGCAGCCTTATAGAAAGTATGACTGAGTAAAGCTCCTGAACTCATGGAAGTTGAGAAGAGAGAGAGCAAGAGAGAGACTCGGAAGAAGATACACTCTCCTAGATTATGGCCCCAGTGATCTACCTCCTCCAATGAGGTCCTACCACCTATTAGCATTTTCAGCTATGAACGAATGAGTGGATTAATCCAGCAATAAAGGTGGGATTCAATCACTTTCCAAAAGCCACAATTCTGAACACATGAGGCTTTTGGGTGCCACTTTACATTTAAAATATAGCACTCTATTTCTGGACCCCTAACGGCTCATGTTCAACTCATATAGGATGCAATTCAGTGACCAACTCATGGTAAACTCTCAGCCATGAGCCCTTGTAAAAATAAAAAGGCAAATTAACAGGTATTTTGAGAAGTTTCCAAACAGTGGTGGGTCAAAGCAGATGGACAGAGTCTAGCCTCATAGGGTAGATGTAGAGTATATGAACCCTTCATCATTGGTTCCTCTCCAAACACAGAGGAAACTTCAGCCTGGCAGCGTTTCTCTAGTACACACCAGGGTCGAGAAATCAGGGACAGAAACTGATTTCTCTGCATCATATTCTGAAAGGATAAAAAACTGACAGCTGTCTGTGTTAGGGGTCTTCAATATTGGCCAGGCACATCTGAGTCACTGCTGGGAGCCGATGGTTTATGCTACACTATTACAGCTCTGTTGAAATATACTCACACAGTCTCATGCAGTCACAGATGGGGCTTCTCAAAGGTGGCTGGATCTAGAGAGTATGTGACACTGGGGTTAATGCATAGTGCAATGCTATGATTAAGGGTGCTAGGATTAAGGATATGAGTGCTAACAGTGAGTAAAACTAAATGCCAGTAGCCTGGATACAACATAAGAGACAGAGGCTTGTTGCTTGGACTTGCTGCTTGGACTTGTTGCTTGCTGTATTCTGTCAGTTCTGTTTTACCGTGGACAGTTTCTTCTCTGTGATGCCCTTCGGCCCATACCATCTTACCTTGGATCCAGTTGATTGTGAATGGAAATCTCTACAAACTGTGAGCGAAATAAACTCACTCTTAACTTATGGGTGTTGGGTATTTGTCTCATCAAGGAGAAAAGTAACCAAGACACACACCAAGACATTCATCTAGAACATAGAGCTAATACTAGTCCAGTTTAAATCCATAATCTGCACTCCAGTCGCTACCCTGCTACAATGCAAGCCTGCCAGGGACTATCTGACATCTAGCACCAGTCCCTGGGCAACTTATGTTTGCATGGGGTGTTCTAAGCTTGTGTGAAGCTCCACTTGGTAAACCTGGATTGTGGCAGCACGCATTCAGCACT